GAGTCCTGCCGGGTGCTGCGGCTCCGGGTAAAAGCAGCTGGTTATTGGGTGGGATGCTCCTTGATTGAGCGGTGAAGGTCTTCATTCTTTCAGGGAAGGAAGATTCCGAGGCTGATATCAGTCAATCAGTCAGTCAATCAAGCAATCAAGCAAGCAAGCAAGCAACCAGCCAACCAACCAACCAACCAACCAACCAACCAACCAATCAATCAATCAATTAATCAATCAATCAATCAATCAATGATTCAATCACTCAATCAAAGCAGCGCTTCTTTGCATGTGCAAAAACAAGATCAAAGTCTGGTCTTTTTAGCAAGAGTCCACATTCAGATTTCTCCGTCGCATCTTTTGCAGCACTTTCTGGGCACAAAACACAGTCGGCCAGAGTCTGTAAAGCCTGCATAGCCCTCTAGAGCAGAACTCGAAAACCCCTACTCAAAGACTGCGGAAGCCTGACCCTGCGCTTGCCTGAAGCCATGCTCACAACGGAACTTGCTGAGGGGCAAGTGCTGCGGTTTGTGAGCTCTGCCTCACAGCAAGCGACGTCCTTGGTTTTCAGAGTGCACAGGGCTTCTGCGAAGCAGCTGCGAAAACTGGAGCTAGACCCTGCTCTCGAAGCCTTCAACTTCGAGATTGTCGATGACCAAGCGCCTGCAATGAGCTTCGGCCCCCATCCGCAAACCTGCCTCAGAATCCAGCGCGACCGCTCGGTGGACGGCAAGGGCTACATGGGGCCTTGGGCCACCTTCGTCGTTGCTGCGCCTGATGGCCTCAAAATTAGAGGGGTTGCTCTGCGATCAGTCGGCCACGTCGAGGAGCCGGCCTTTCTGGCTGATGGCGGCAAAGACTTCGTGGCTTCTGCACGTTCTGACGACCCAGCCAGCCGCTGGCTCTTCCAGTTGGTTCACGTTAGCAGACCTTTCGAAGACTTCGACCTCACTCCTGAGCAGTACAAAGCGTTCGCAAGCTGCGGTTTCGCGATTCTGAAACGTGCGGTTCCCATGGAATATGTCAACGATGCTCTGCGGTACATCAACCACCTGATCGGCCAGGGCCCTGATTCCTGGGTGGTGGATGTGGATTCGCCAACTGAGCCGGGCGAGGCACCCAAGTTGAAGCTGCCGAGCAGCAAGCACCCATCCATCGAGGCGCTCGTGACCCGCACATGCCTTGGTGTCGCCGTCCAGCGCCTTCTGCAGAGTTCATATCACCCAGCTGGTGGAGCACAGCTGGCCGTGCGCTTCCCAGTGACCGACCTTCTGGAATCCGATTCCGATGGGAAGCTCACGGAGGCCGCCCAGAAGGTCGTTCGTCAAAACGACAGCACCGAGCAGTTCCACATCGATGGAACGGGCAGGGAATCGCCCTTGCCTTTCAGCGTACTGTTGAAGATTGCACTCTCGGACCAGACTTCCCAGCACTGCGGCAACTTCACCGTCTTTCCAGGATGCCACCGAAACTCCGAGGTCATTCGCTGGTACTTTGGACAGATTTCGGCCACCAAGGGCGCAAGCAAAGGGGCAGAAGCCGGCGCAGGGCAGCCACCGAAACCACCGAAACCTGCAATCGGGAAACCGCTGCAGCTGCAGCTCGCGCCTGGGGATGCTGTCCTCGTGCACCCTTACCTGTGTCATCGGCCCGGCACAAACACGTCTGCGGACGTACGCTACAGTGTGTTTTTCCGCTTCCGCTCCAGGTCCTTTTCCAAACATGCCCTGGACCGAGTTGCCCTTCTTCAGAATCCGATGCTTGAGTTCCCTTGGTGTACAGGCGGGGGCGTTGACTGTGCAGAGGGTTCAGCCCTCGAAGAGACTCCCCACAAGATCAAGCAACAGAAGATCGCATGAGCGAAACCCCTGTGTAGATGAATTTCGTTACTGAGTTTTGGATGCTTCTCGGCAAGACTGCCGAATCCCAAATTTGATGTCTTGGTATGTCTTGCTTGCTTGGTCCTTTCTTCGGCTGCAAGTCAGTGCTAGGCCAGTTCCTCTGAGCTCAGGGGAGGACGGATTTCATCTGACGAAGTGTCAGAGGAGAGCTTCTGGCCATCGACTGCTGACCGACGGCGACCGAAAAATCTTCCCGGACGAGAGCGGACCTGTCATGCCTGCCATGTAGAGGTGTGCATTGAAACATTTGTAGCTGGGAGGCCGTGGAGGATCTTGGTTCCAAGAGGCACGTCAACAAGACCGCGCAGCTCAGAAGCACGCAGCCTCTTCATTCTTTCGTTTGATGGGCGAATGCTAGACGGGAGGCCTGGATACGTTTCCCCACTAATCCGAGGCTTGATGCGTGTGTTGCAGCTGCCAGCTATGACTGGACCCACGACTTTGGATCAGCAAAGTACCCGATGTGCGAAGAGCCGACAAGCGTTTTGGCCGAAGCATCTAAAGTTGTCAAATCCTCGAAGACACTCCCCGACATGACTTGAGGTGACGTACTGGCCATCAGCCAGGAGCTGTTCGAGAAGTACGGTCGTCCCGAGTCGGAGACCAGCATCTGGGTCTAGAAGGCCGATCGACGCCTCGCATGACTAGATTTCGAAAGGTGAAGCAACTAGCAAGCAGCTGCCGTGTCCACGAATGGTTGTTGCCACGGGGCACGAGTAGACGAGCAGAGAGTGACAAGGAGGGGCAAGGAGCCCGCGTTGATGCGAATGTTGGAACATATTGGAGCACCACTACTGGGCAGAGAATCTGACTCTGTTGAGTTAAGTTCCTCCTCAACCCTCTGCCTCTGCTCCTTCAGGAGGGCTTCGTTGCACATGTATAGTCGCAGAAGCGTTGCCGACCTAAGCGCTGGCGCAAGGGAGAGAAAACGAGAAGGGTCTGCATAAGAACAGCCTTAGCTAGCCATCTAAGCTGCGGTGAAGGAGCAACAACGGTCAGCTTTCCTCCTCGCATAACGTATTGTCTGACATCTCCGTGGTAAAGTGTTTTGGAAGCACCTGGGTTCGACTTGCTTATGAGCGCTGGCAAAATCGTGTTTCCGGAGTCCGACGTTGCAGCTCTCTCGAAGCGGTTCGACTTCTTGTACGATGCGGAAGCTTAACCCTGCGAAGCCATGCGCTTTTAAATGAACTCTTAGCACCGAGTAGCATGTGCGTTGTCACAGTGTGTGTGTGTGTGTGTGGACACTTCGGTCATTGTCGAGGGCTCGACCTGAATCTTCCTTCGTCGCTCCGCACGAAACAGGAAACTCTATACACCCCACCGAATGTTCATAAAACTCTCTCGCAGAAGGACCGACGGCTGCTGCTGGGCCTCCTGACCCTCAGCCGCTGCTCGGAGCTTCGTGCGCTGCGGCCGCTCTGCAGGGAGCGGCTCAATGCGGCCCGGCAATCTGGGACAGGGGATCTTGGGTCGGAATCGGGGATTCGGTTTCCGGACCAAGGACGACAAGGGGCTCATGCTCCTCATCGCCTCCTACATCACGGAGCCACCTGTGTGTCTCTTCCAGTTCGGAGGTTTCATGCGGAAAGTATGGCCGGAACACTGGTTCCCTGTCTGCACATATGCAGTGGGCACGACCTCCATGAATTTTTTCTCGGATGTGAGCTGGATGCACATCTTGTTTCCCACCCAAATCGCTCTCGCAGATTTCGGAGGCGCTTTGAGGACCCTGTGCGGCCTATGCCCTTGGCTCCACCACCTGAACTCAGGTGCTTCCAGTAAGCTTGAGCAGGTTTAGGTTTCTGTCGCTTGAAGTGTTTGTCTTGAGAGCCGTTTCCTTCGGGGAGCCATGTTACTGTTAGACTGCTGCTCCTTCCTTGTGCAGGCTTGACAGTGCCAGCTGCGACATGGGGCTGGGCAGAGCATTCTTTGCAGGCGTGGGCCGTGTGGGCAACCGATCTTCTGCTTCGAGTCATGTCCAGAGAGGCGTGCTGCCTTCTTGAGGCGGCTGCGGCAAGCACCCACAAGCTTGCAGCCTGGACGAGTGTCCTGGCCTCCAAGTTTTGCAGGAAAGGTTTGCTTGCTCACAAACTCTCATGAGCTCCGCGAAGTTATGCTCCCATCGGACGCCAACTTGGCCTGACCTGCACGGTGCTGTCCAAGCAGCAAGTCTTTCCCAAGCAAGATCAGTCAGTCCGGGCTGTTCTGATCACTCCCCAATCTGCTGGTAGGTGGTAGGTGAAGGACAAGCAAGCAATGCAAACGGCCCATGTCTACGCGACGGTCAGTTGGACACCGTCTCCGGAATGAAGGCTTAAAAGCACTGCGAGCACTTGAAGACAGTCGGGTGAGTTTGGGGGGGCACCGTCGCGGCAAAGAGGTCAAACTCGTGCGCCCATACTGTGTTGATACTGCATTTGTCGACGTGGCTGGTCATACAACTAGGCGGCAAGTGATTGAGGCAGAGGCCAGATGTGCGCTGTTTTGAGTCTGAGGTTTTTCAATTCGGCAGAAGTCTACGATTCCCTTGCTGATGAGTGGTCCGCCCTTCCTGCCATGCCAACCCGTCGGCACGGTGCTTGTGCTTTATAGCTGCAGAAAGTGTGGTCTTGAGTGCCGTGTACCTCACGTGCTTGTCCACGATCTTTGGAGCATGCACAGTCCTCTGCCTGCACGACTGTGCCACGAAGGCTTGCTTTTTGGACGGCAAAGTGTACGTCCTTGGTGGCATGCACCTTGACTGGAAAGTTGTCACTATGGGATGGGACCTTGCACAGCCTCGGCCTACTTCGGGCGACTTCTGGGCGCAAGGCTTTGCAGGAACAGCCGCTACGGTAGAGTTTCGTTTTGTCTGAAACTTCTCAGTGTTTTTGCTCGAGGTCTTGGTGCAGCTCGAGACATTTAGCAAATTCTTGTGCAACGCCGACTCCGATCTTGGAAACCGTCCGTTTTGATTGCCACACCCACGGACAAATCGCACATAGACAAACTTTTGCGTCGACCGCGCCCCATTCAAGTAGCGAGTTTCTGCAACGAGTTAGAAATCTTGGAGCCAATCGCTTGTGCGCAATGCCGAACAATCAGTGCCGGTGACGGAGTGACGAAGCCATGGGCTACGGTGTGCCATGCCTGCACGAGCCTGGGGTTTTTCAAAGCAGAGATCTACGTTCTTGACGGACACGATGTGTGGCCGTAAGGTTCCGGATAGTGGAGTGGATTTTTGCTACGTGACAGTTTATGAAGCCCACCAGCTCATGAAGAATGACAAGGCACTCCGCATAAACGGCATCATGCATGTCACAGACTCTTTTGTTAGTTGAACCTGTGACTTTGGCATATGTGTCAGGCTGTTTTCGTGGACAGCAGAGATGACGATGATTTCAGGAGCCGCGCCTCCAAATTGGGCTGGCTTCCTTCCTGTTGGGGTGACATGTCTTGACTCTTGTGAGGCTTTCAAGACACTTGGGGCAAGCAGGTTGCATGCATGAATCGAAACAGGACGACGCGAATCCAGACTTCGTTTCACTTGTCTGCCAATTCGCTCATCATGAAAGCGGGAGGAGCTACTCGGACTGAAGCAGGGCCGTGTTGCATGCGAGCTGGCTAGTTGTCGGTTTTGTGGCAGCGGAGTGTCCCTGCCTGAGGCAGACAAAGGATTGGTCCAGCAGTTGGTTGACCTTGTCAATTCCGGCAAGACCCTGGTCTGTCTTAGTGCTGCTCGACCGAATTGTAGATCTTCAACCTCGGACATTGAACGGCATTCGTGGTTGCTGGCTGGCTACTTAGATTGAGTTGGAACTGGCCATAGAACAGGCCGTAACGGCACCGTCGTCATTGAGCGGCCAGAAATGGTAGAGAAGCCAGAATGCTGCTTGTGGACTTTCTAGTGTGCGCTTGACTCTTGGAGCCCGGAAATCAGGATGCTTGCGTGAAGGGCAACATCAATCGCGGCCACGTTTCTCGTTGTCGCCACATTGCGCAGTGCTCTGCTGCCAGCGGTGCAAGTCCCTTCAAGCAGTAGCCAAGCACCTTCCACGTACTGCACTTCCAGGTATTTGGTCGAGATGGGTGCGGATCGTGCGAGGATCGTCCGCATGACGGGCGGAATCAACGCATGGAAGAAGGCGTTGCTGGTCTGGTATTGGCTCAGGATCACCCTGTCGTGACAGCCTCCTCGACTGTCCAGCCAAGGCAACTCGACGGAATCCTGGGAGATCTGCGCCCGATGTATGCCGGCGTCCTCAAGGCCTCAGTTGAGCTCCAATTTCTCAAAGTCTTTTCATGGCCGCTTCGGACCGTGGTTTTTGCGCCATTCCCGTACTTCCGTGCAGCTCTGTAGTCCCAAGAGGCCAGCAATTTCGAGCCGCCCAAGGAGGGCCGGGAAGAAGAGGAGGAGAGGATGCCGGCGGGAGCACCTTTCAGAGTAACGGGGCCCTATCTCCAAAGCCGGAGGACGAAGAGACTCGGCCACTGCGAGGCGAGATGCCGGCGGCTGTGGGCAACGGAGGCCGGCATGGATTCGGGCTTCCAGACGTACTGCCGCAATGGTCACAGACGCGGATGTCTCAACTTGTTTTGCAAAGATCGAACATCCGGAAAACCCCCGTACTCCGTGGCTTCAAGTCTGATGAGTGCAGGCTATGCGAGCGTGGCCCCTCAACTGGCAGCTGGCCTGCAGGCGCGCGACCGCGATCAGTTTGAAGAAGCCGGTGTGCTGAGCTCTTGGGGTGTTCAGGTCGAGATCCAGGGTCTGGCTGCCCGGCGAAGATTGTCTGAGCGGAGGTTACGGTACCCGGCAGGTTTCTGTCGGGAGCTCATCCGCTCAGAGCTTCCTTGGCAGCCCAGGTCTCACGAGCGGATCTGAATGGCAAGAAGGCGAGGATTCAGGACCCAACAAGCGAAGCTCCCTAGCCCCCAAAAGCACGCAAGCAATAGAGAGATAGAGAGAGCTCCGAGCTCCCTCTCCCGTATCCTGGGAGCTCCCCTGCTCCCAGCCCTCTCGCTGAGTTCGCGACTCCAGGAGTTTATTCCGAGCTCCGAGCGCTGGGAGGTGGAGCTTCTAGACGAGAGCAAGGAACATGTCCGCCGCGGCCTCAGGCCTCAGGCACTGGGAACGGCAGTTGTCGCGACGTTTCCATTTTTGTCGGTTTTCCACTCCAGAGTTCTTCTTCCATGGGTGCACCATCAAAGCATGTCCTTCCCTCGTCCCCGGCAGTACTTGTACATGAGACAATCTGCCGCGGTCTTCGGGAAAGCAGCTCGCAAATACATAGCCTGACGCCTTGACACATCTGCCCAGCGCATCACGAAAGAGGGACTCACAACAAGAACCACGGGGCTTTTGCCTTGGCTCGGCCACCCACAGCTTTGCCCGAGGCTGCAAGCCCGAGTGCCTCAAAGCAGTGGTGGCACCTCGAAGTCTGGTTTGGAGTTGCTTGAGGCTTGAAAGCGTGGTCTGAAAGCAGGGCTTTTGACGTCGTTGGATTGCCATCAGGGATCTGGCACAGATACACGTCTGCACATGCAAACTTGTATGACTTGCGTGCGCTTCGACCGAGGAAGGGCCAAAGGCTGCGCCGGCTGCAGGCCCGGAGGAGTTCGTGGAGGTCGGATGCGGCGGAGCGACTCAGCAAAAGCCAGGGTGTCGGGGAGCCTTCAGCAGCCACAAGCATCAGTGCTTGAGTTGGTCATCCGAGACCCCTGGCGATGGCGGTGCAAGAGAGACCTGCAAAGTCAGGCTCGCCTTTCCGCTTGAGATCGTAGAACTTGCTTAGTTCATATCGCTCGAGATTCAGACTGCTTCAGGTTTGTTCCTCCACGTCCCTTCCGCCAAGATCGTCCGACTGCGTACAGAGTGTTGAAGGCCGACCTCTACAAGACGCGCGGCTGAAGCAATGAGGGGCTCTGGAGTGAAGCGTGCTTGCCTAGCATTCCGAGCACGAACGCTAAGCAAAAGCGCTAGTGCCGCCATGTCTTTGTTCTTGAGATTCTGCAAGGAAGACGACGAAAGACTCTGCCCCTTGTCCGATCTCCAGCACGGGCTCGCTGAACTTCCATGTGCAGACCATCCACTGACGGGAGTGACAAATTCTGGTTGCCAAGGACAAGATCATCAAGGTCACACGGCCCGTCGGATCGCTTGCCAGGGCCTTCAATCCAGCGCTCTCATGCAACTGCGCTTCCTGTTCTGTGTCTGTCCTGTCGAGCAGAAGCTGGTCGCCACACAGTCTTGGTGGAGTTTCAGGATTCAGTGGAAGCCCCGGCACGGCCTCGACTTTGTGAGGTGCGGACCACCGGCGAGCTCTTTGTCGGCAGCGTCGGTGGCGTTTGGGCCGAGCTGGATGTGGTGGCCGGTGAGAAGAAAGGCGCGAATGCTGATGCAAGCAGGTGACTCGAGCCAGAACGTTACAGGATCTGCCGGTCTGTATTCGAGCAAGTGAATGCAGGCTGGATCTACATCAAGGCGGGAAGTCGCTGGATGTCGGCCGACGTCCCAAACTTTCAAGTGGAAGCCATTGCAAATCTCCTAACAGGGCCCTGGCTTTGGAGCGAGCAGCTGCAAGATCACCGACGAGTATTTGCTGTCGTAGGCCGCTGTGGACGAGTTGACTTCAAGGGTTTCAGTTTAGGCAGCCTCTAAGCCAGAAGCCCGGCGCACAGAAATCCGATATGACAAGGTTCAAGAATGATCTGGAGGGTCGGTGAATAACTAACCATTGATATTGGAGGAGCTAAGGAGCCAGGGATGATGATAGTCCCTCGTAAATAAGGAGCTAAAGAGCCAAGGGAACCCCAAAACCACTGGTTCGATACTCTTTTAGCTTTGTGGAGCCAGGCGACCCTTCTTCTGTCTCGGTCTTCACTTGTCCGGGGGTATGTTCAGTCCCTCAGTCAGTCATTTACAGACGTGCACGTGCTCGCGAACTTCCATGCTTAACGTACTCACTAGGTCACACGGTCACCACATCAATCAGTCCGTGAGTTAGCCGCTTGCTCAGGCTCCTCGTCAATGTTGCCAGTTGTATTTCTGTGTTGACTCTTCCAGCTGCGATGAGCGCTGCTTCTGCCGGTCCACGCAGCGTGATTGTGCCAGGTCAGCATGACCAACATCATGACCGACATCACGACCACCATCAGGACCACCGGCACAATCGCAGACGACGCGATCACAGAATGCTAATGACGGTATCACCACCATTGTCTTCAGCACAACCATACTCACCGTCATCTCACCATCGCCATCCACATCGCAATGACCATGACCATCACCATCATCATCATCATCACAGCCATCTCGTCGCAGTCACACCTCCAACAGCAGCCGCAGCCTCCTCCTCCTCCTCCTCCTCCTCCTCCTCCTTATTCCATTCCTCAACACCATAACCAGGTTCATGACCATCACGACCAAAGCATCGTCGTGGTCGTCAGGATCAGGAAACATGCCCCCGTACTCCGAAGGCAAGGCGCACAGGCCTTTAGAAAACCATTTTGCCTTGCAGAATCTCTGCAGAAGCTCTCGACAGTGATGTCTAAGAAAGGGAAGGCATGTGCTACATCGCGGCTCCAAAGGGATCTGAGGCATTCGGAGATCTTGGAAGATTGTCTGCCAGACAGTTTTCTAGACATTATCCGGAGCACAAGACTGACTTTCAAACACCCGACAGATGAGCCCAAGACGACGCATCCTTTCGCATTGTTTGCGATGGAGGAGCCCACTTCAAGAACCTGGATGCAAGTCCACCGAGCTTCCACGACAACTGAGTTCTTCAGCTTGAGGTCCCGTTTCACCCTCAAAGCCTCGCGTTCAACAGGGTCGACCCGCAGGAGGTCCGGGCGATGCTCTGTGCGGAGTAGAGCCAGTGCAGATTCCGTTCGGGCAAAAGTCTGATAAAAGCTGCAGGTTCCGGTTCATTTTGCAGCTCAAACTGGGTTCGTGCTTGGCCTCACGCTCCCTAGGTATGTCGATCAGCGCAATCTTCCACTGAAGGAGCAGCTTAATTGGCTTGTTGGCGTTCGCAAGGGCGCATTTGTGTGGTGGAAGGTGGTCTAAGAATGAGCAGCATCGGTGCAGCATACAGAAATCCTTCGCATGATGCCAAGCTAGGCTCTGTGACCGTAGCATGTTGGAGAAGGAGAAGTTCTGCGACATCTTCGATCCTGAAACAAACTGCTGGACCTCGCTCCCTGCTACCGCCTACACGAACCTCGGGGTAGGCCAGGGCTCCGTGGCATGCAAGAAGTCCGCGGCTGAATAGGTATCTCTACGTCCAGTATGTGATGCGATACTGATGGTAGGTGTGCCTCTCTATACGCATACTTCTACACGCACTCAAACAAACTTGCGCACAAACACACATCTATCTCCATGTTTGTGTCTTAACATGCAAAACATGTAGAACATTCTCTCTCTCCCTCTCCCTCTCTCTCTCTCTCTCTCTCTCTCTCGTTCGTCTGCTCACATGGCTGTTTGTGCATATGCTGTGACTCTACATACGCATATGTACATGCACATGTATATGCTGAGGGAGGTGCAGCACAAATGCCAGGCAATCGGATCCAGATGGATTCATGCTTACTTGTAGTGCGGACCTGAGGCATTTTCGAGCGGGCAGCATTTTTCGGCGCTGCTGCAGCAGGGGCCCTACAACGGGGACAGCTTCTTCGACCGGGATTTGTGGCTGGAGCCAGTACAACAAACCTCCTTAGACCACTTGTGACAAATTCCTGCTCGAGCCATCGAGTCTTTCAAGGTTGAAGGTCGTGTCGTGGCATTGGTCGGCGGCGTCACCATTGACACTTGCCCTGCATGCAGTGTGCTTGAGCCCCTGCACGATAATAAGGGATGTCGGGCATTCAATGGTCACCTTGTGCACGACCGGGGACAGTTTGAAGATTCTGGGACGTAGATTGGCACCGCAGACATGGGCTACGCCTGCACGTGTACGCGTCGCTGGAACGTTGCAGTTGAACAGTAGCTACTTGCTATCGTTGAAGTTTTCCAACAGTCGGCTAAGGCTTACAACCCCAGAGTTCCCGAAGATGGTTGGAGAGCTGTCGAAGCACCAAACAGCCATGTCAAGGCGAGTTTGGTGAAGCACATGCTGAGGGATCGAGCCTCGCAGTGGGTCAAGATTAAGGGCAGAGGGGGTTCGGATTGCAGGCTGACAGACGGGTCAAAAGGTGGCGATTTGATGCAGAAAGTCCGTGGCCGCGACGGATTCCGAACGTTTGTGCGAAAAAGGGAAGCCTTGGAGACAGAGTCATTGGAAGATTTGCAATAGCTATGGTAAAAGTCTCGTGACGCAAAACTTGCGGAGCGGTAGTGTTCCGAGCCTGAGCGTCGAAAAGCATCCCCTGGATGCAAGATCTTGTGGAAATGGAAGCAAGTTGCTGAGGGCTGAGGCCTTGCCTCGTGCACACGGCAACCTTCTGATTAGGCAGCCCCGGGACGTACCAACATTCACAGGTCAGGAATTCCAGAGAAGACCCTTAGACCTGACCCAAACCCGGAACCCGAATCAACACTCGCGGACCTGTGCGGACCTTACGGCCAACTCCTGCGTTGAGCCCTTTGGCAGGTGGGTGCCTCCTCATGTGCGTGCGCCTTCCGTGGGGAACTGCGCCTTGGTCCATCATAAAGGAGCATCTTGCCGTTGAGCGATCAGCTCTCGGTTCACTTCCCCTCACTCTCTCCGTGTGTACAACCCCAATCCAAGGTAGTCTCTCCTTGCGGAAGCAGAACCCTTAGTTCTTCCTAGGCACTCCTTTCGAACAAACGTTCGGCTTCTGTCTGTGATACTGGTAGCTTCGACTATGAGTCTATGAGGGTGAAAGCTTCGGAAAGCGTTCGCCTTCGCACTCGACGGTCTTTTTTTCTGTGGCTCTGAGACGACGCTCGTGACTCCTCTTAGCCCTGACATGTGTAGCTAGATGTGCCTTGGACATGATCACCTTGCATGCGAGTCGGAGATGCAGCAGCCCAGGATAGTTGCTTCAGGCCGCCCACGCTGCTTTTCGAAGTGTGCCACTGGCCTGGAACAAATTTAGTTTCATGCGGTATGGTCAGACAGGCGTGTTTCGGAGTTCGGTATACACTCTGGGCGTGTTCATGACAGGGATAGGGGTGGAAAGTGTGGTTGGTAAACACAAGAATTGCAACATGGAGCTCAAAGTGTGCTGAGCCGTCAGCCCTCTCCGAACGGCGTCTAATTCCTTGAGGTTGCCGGCTTCCGATTTTCTGCAGATGCCTCGCAGCCTCTTTGGTGGCCTCGGCAAATTAGTCTTGAGGGCCAGGTAGGCACAGGCCGATGCTGTGTCTCTGGACAGAATGTAAGCTACGCGCGAGCTTATCCCTGGCCCCACCAGTATATGTAGGTAAATGCTAATGGCTCGGTGACCCTAGGTGGCATGGCACATGGCGTCAGCTGCCGGCCGGGATGGGGAGGATGAAGGTGTTGTTTCCGTAAGTGTCTGCTGCAGCTGCCGCCTCTTCCTGCATGCATGTTCCAAATGCATGTTCGATCAGTGAGTTCACGGTCGTCTCCTGTCCCAGAAGCTGCAGAGCGCACGCGTTGGTGGGGCGCTCGTAGCAGCTCGGTTCGAAGCAAGAGTCGCAGGACAGAAGCTAGGCCGGTGGGTGTTGTCTCGGCACTGCAGTCTGCAGACTTGGCTGAGGAGGTCTACGACCGCTTGTACATCACAGGAGGCACAGGGTCACGCGGTCACGGGTCGAAAGGAAGGCTCAGAACTCGTTGTAAGGCGTTGACGAGGAAACTGGCGAGTTCTACGACACGGCAGAGCGCCTCGCGGAGGAGTCCTGGGACTGTGCCTGGCTCAGGAGACAGCATTCGATACTTGACGGACGTGTCCAGGTTTACATCTGCAGTCTCAGTACGGGACTCTTCATGTTAGCTAGTCAGCAGAGAGCTATCCAGTTCTACTCACTGGTGATGGATGCTTTGCTAAGGCGTGTCCTGGTTCCAGATGCCACGTGCGTAGCTTGGACTTCGGTTGATGGGCACCCGGCGTTCAGCTTGAGCAGTGAAGCGGGCTTGAAGGCGCGAGTGCTTAATAGTATGGTGTTGAATTGAACAGATGTTGGCCTATCCAAGGTTGCACGCGCACGAGGCACATGCCTTGCCGTACCTCCCTGCCACGCAGCTCAGCTACTCGCAACCAAGTGAGGCTTAGCGTTTGCACCAGTAGTGTAGGTGTAGGCAGATCTCTGCACAAAGTGGCAGAGCAAGTCGGAAAAGACCAGGTAACCGTGGGCAATTCGGCATCCTTTTGAGCTCTAGATGTGTCCTGCAAGGAAGCGTAGATCGTCCTGACCCATGCAGTCGAGTCGCTGCAGCTGCGCCAAGATCATCAGAGTGGTCCCCACACATCGCCCCACGAGTAGGAGTAGAGACTTTAAGCTGACATACATCTGGACATTGCGAGCCCATATGTGATCACGTGTGCCATCTTCGAGCATATTCAGCCTTTGCACATGTCAGCCGTTTGTGAATCCCGCAATGCAAGCTGTGGACGAGCTCCTGACTATCGTCATGGTTGCTCGTCGTAGCAGAAGACTTTAAATTCTGTTTTCAATCCTGCACGGCCATCTTGCAGCAACTGCATTGTGGTTCATTGAGGTTACGTCGCCGGTGCCTTCCAACCCATCGACTGCGATGCTCGAGCATGTGCTGTCCTCCTGCACGACGGCAGGCGGCTTCTTGGCAGCACGTCGCAAACTGAATATCCTGTGCATCCACACAGTATGAAACTAGAGTAGGTGGCAGAGCCTGCTAAAGCGGAAGAGTTCCGTCATGGCCTGGCTTTACGCCGAGCCTGCACAGCACATGCCAAGGATTCAACGGGTGCCCGACGATCGTGGTTTCGGACGGCTACAGGGTTGCATCTGCTGGGCAACGCCCAAAACCCAAAGCCTCTCGTCCGAAGGGTGAGGCGTTGCCATCACTTCTGGAACCAATGGCATAGTTCCAGGCGTAAACCGTCAGAGGCAGTTTGTAAGCCGCTGTCTTGGCGCTCAGGCCGGAAGAGTACCACCACACTGGGAGGAGCCTTATGAAGAGTTCAGGCGGGGCCCCCGCAGTGCTTGCGCTTTGATGTTCTTCTCAGCACACCAGTTCTCCTCGCGACTGTATGTATCAGCCTTCCAGCGTGTACCTAGACCCATCGAGTCCCACATGCTTGGAGCCCGAAACAAAATCTGTTGTAGGACCTTCACAGATATTCACAGATCTGAATCTGTGGAAAGCTCCCATAATCATAATCATCCTAAGAGGGTGCCGCATGGTGCCGCCCGGTATGGGAACTCGTCATCCAGTCTGCGATGCGACCTGCGATAAATTGCAGCTGAAGACAACTACTTGGTTTGTGACTTCTGCATCGTTCTCTGAGGTACTCGTAGCGTAGTGTTTTCCATTGCTCGCGTTCCGGCACGGCACCCTTGCGATGTTCTGCCTTGCTTTTCCCGAGCAGGCACAAACTGGACGACTTGGACTCCACTGCCTCCAGTGCCCTGTCTGGGGTCCAACACATTCGTGTTTTGGAGCACAAGGCACCACTCACAGTCGATGATCTTAAGGGTGACTGCCACATGCGGGCACTTCGTCGTGTCGTTTTTACTGCAGGGCTTCGCGGGATGCTTGCACATCGCTCTTCGGCAGGCGCTTTGAGTGCCAGCTGTTGTCTGTTAGATTGTTGGGGGGTTGGCGTCCGATGTTAGCCATCCATATACCATGAGGGTCCATCTGGCCAGACGAAGAACTGGATATAGCATTCTACCGAAGCCTACAGGCTGACTGTGATCAAAACCAGCCACCACGACATTTCAGTCAGAAGCTATCTGAGCGGCTTTTCGACGCAGGTTCGGACGCCTTTCGTCTTGGTGCTGCAGCACGATCGTCCGTGCCTTCGTCCTTTCGACGGGTCAGGCGCAAACTCCCTCCAGACTTTTGGCAATGCTTTCCGATTCGTGTTGGCCAGAGGATTGAGGTTCGTTTCAACATCTGTTCCACCGCGTTTGTGAAGCAAACTGACGCCAGGCCTGCTCGCTGCAATGATGAGCTGCTCCCAGCTGAAGTACGTGGGCCTGCCCACCAAGGCTTGGGGCAGTAGGGGAGTACGAGACAAATATAAATATGAGTCACACACACATACACGTACACATGCATACTATATTCTATATTATATACATCTGTATATACATATATATATATATATGTATATAATATGGATGGTTATGTATGTATGAACGTATGTATGTATGTATGTATGTATGTATGTCTGTATGTATGTATGCGTGTGTACGCATGTATACGTACGCATACGTATGTGTACGTATGTATATATATATACACATGCATGCATGCATGCCTGCATGTATGTGTATATATACACACATACGTATACATACGTATACATATGTACACATACGTATACATACATATATACGTACATACATACATACATACATACATACATACATACATATACACACACATACATACAAGCATGCAGCGCAATGCAGTACGATTCAATACAATACCATGCCAGACCATATCATATATACATGCATGCATCTATCCATCCATCTATCCATCCATCCATCCGTGCATGCATGCATTAAAAAACAAATAAATAAATATATACACACATCTGCGCGCACACACACGGTTTCTCGACGGGTCGTATTGTGTTAATCGGAGGGCTCGCAACGGCAAGTCGTAACTATACCGCAGCCGTTCGACTTAGGCGCATCCGTTCCGTATACCGACGGTGTGCTAGCCTTTTCTTTCTAGACTGTCACGGCTTGATGCCTTCATCTTCAGACTCGTCCCGCTCCCGTCCTCGCCGACGGCGTAGGGCCCGGCGGTCCTCGAGTACATCATCCTCGTCTTCGAGGTTGGCCTTCGGATTATCATTTCTGCCTCTTGACCCTCACTGTCAGGCGGCCCCGGTCCCGCCTGTCCGCCAGGAGGCCGACCCTGCCTTTATACAATTTCCGCCTTGGCCCATATCTGGCTGAGGTCCTTTGGTGCTCAGCTCCGTTCCATCATGCATGGTCCCCGGCTGTATGCACTCTAGTCGTTCGCTTCCCGTCGGCTCTTCCCAGGCCTGACCCGGCTTCTGGTCCGCCGGTCTCGCCCCCGAAGGCCGGCTTGCAAGCTGTTTCCGGTCATGCTCTAGCTCTGGCTGCTTGAATCGCCTTGCTCGAGCGACCCCTGTCTCCCGCCGCAGCCGCTTTCAGCTTCTGACGCTTTCTGACTTTCCTGCCTTACGCTCTCGGTGATCATGGCCCGCTTTGGTGGACACGCTCTCCGCGACCTGGCCCGTGGTGTGGTGGGAGCTGCCGTTGGCATCCGGTCCGACGTCGACCCGACTCCGGCCGATGTCGAGGCCCCTCCGGCTCCGGACGCTGAGGCCGTCCCGACGGAGACCCCGGCACAGGACACGACCGTGGCTCCGGCCCCCCCCGTGGATCCACCTGCCACCCCGTCCCAGCCCCCGGCCAAACGTGGTGCCGACTTCCTCGCGCCCCAGAAGCAGCCTCCCAGCCACCCCCCTACGACTGGTGGTCTGCCTGCTGCTTCCGCCGGACCCCCGAAGAAGAAAGCCAGCTTTCCTCCGGCCCGGCCTGCCACCCCCTCTTTCCCCCCCGCCAAGCCGGCGGCCGCTCCATCCGAAGCGGCCCCAGCGGCAGCTGCCAAGGCCGCTCCGCCGCCCCTCGAGACGGATCTGTCCTTTTTGTGCACTCTGGACGATGATGCCATCTACCGGTCCCTTGCCGACTTGCCTCCGTCCCAGGTGACCCGACTTCTTCTTTTGATCGCCGAGGTCGCCCAGGACGTCACTTATGCCATGGGCAACCTGGGCCAGCTCGACGTTGAGGTTCCGGTCGCGCACATGTCCCAGACCGGCCCGCCTCCGAACCGAGGGCGCTATCCGCAGACGACGCGTGGTGACCTCGCACCGTTGCCGGCCGGTCCGCGCTTTCCGGACCAACAGGCAGCCGATGCCATCCATGCCGGTCTGGACCAGAACGATGGCACCAGGCCCGATCCCAACCCGGCCCCGCCGAACCCCCCCCGAGCTGGTGCTGATGGTGGCCTGCGTGTCCTGCCCGGATTCGCCCGCCCCCGCCAGGCCCTCCTCACGGACACGTCGGGCATTGACCCGAACGCGCCCCTGGTCCACTCAGATCCCAACCGCCCTGGCTGCACTCCGGTCTTTGTGGACCGGGGCCAACTCACCCCGCGCCGGGCCAACACCGGCCCTTGGACCATCAGCGAAGGCTGGGAGCGCCTGAGCATTTTCCTGCCTGAGACGCCCGGCCCGTTCATCCGCACGGACTCCTGGCCCTGGCCCGACCTCTTTTGCTTTGAGGAGCAGGACTTGCCAAGCTGGGCTCCGCTTCAGGAGCCTCCGTCTGTCCTGTCTCACCTGCACATTCGCGGCTACTGCTCGCACGATTGTCCGGCCCGGGGCCCGCACTGTCTCCGCATTTGCCTCCGGCCCGTGATGTTGCATTCCCGGACCGATCACACCGGGCACAAATGCCCGTATTGTATCCAAGACGGGTACTAGGCACCTGGTCCGGACCGCCCCGCATGCCCCGTGCCTTTATTGCCCATATTCCAACTAGTCTCCTAAGATCATCGTGTTGGGGTGGCCCGCTAGGCCCGGTGCTGTGCACTTTTCTGCTTCTCGCGGCCGGCCTGATCCGGCCCCGCTGCGGCGATGCCTAAAAAGTCGTGCTTCCCCGCCTTGCTGCGCCTGCCTGGTTCTGTCAGAGACATGTTGTTTTTGTTATTTTCTGCCGCCAGGCCAACATCGAGCTGGAGACCATCGAGGATGCGCCGGTCTCTTTCTTGCGCGTTGTTGCGCTTTTTGTTGTATACCCTGTCCGGCCAGGTACCCGTGCATCCGCCGGTGGCCCCTGCGGGCAACCCGGCCTTGGCATCTGACCTTGGTTCCTTGCTTCATGGCTTTCCCTTGCAGCCCACCGCTGCCGCTCCACTGATCACACCGCCCCGCCCGCAGCGGTTGGATTTTTTGGGCGAAGCCTCCCCGCGTCAGTGCGATTCTCCGGCCTCGGCCCCGGGGCCCTCGGCACCGCCTCATTCCAGCCCTTCGTCGGCATCCTCTACATCCTTTCAGGTTGTGCCGGTCCCTACTGCTTA